TTTCTTAGGGATGTGAATAAGCAGAAGGTGAGAACGCAAAAAAGGCGGCTGTGCAAGTACAAGTAAAAAAGCAGATTGATTTTTCGGCGTGATGAAGGGAAATTCGGCAGAGGCTGAGTCGGCTATTGTCAAGGGTTTTGTGCATCCCCTTTTGAGAGAGTTTTTTGTGTGAGGGGTTTGAGAGCTTGTTTGAGGGTTTAAGTTGTGTGATTGTAAACCCTAGTTGTATTTTCTCCCTCTAATAGTAGATCTCCCCCTCCTTGCCCCGTGGATGTAGACAACTTGTCAAACCACGTAAAATTCATTGTCTTGCTGTCTTGTGATTTGTAATAGCTTGTTTAGGTTCCCTCGACAGGTCAGTCCTAGAACTGATGAGAGGAAGAGTGTATATCCCACTTTGTTGAGATATTGCACTTTCGATTCTTGTTTCCTTGGTGAAACGAGAATTTCGTTGTGATCTAATCTCTTGTCGTGCAGCAGAGGTGCTGTCGAATTTTCCGCTGAGCACAACATTATTAAAAATGTCATCCTTGGCATCCAAGCGTTTAGACTAGTAACTACATCTTGAGAAAAGGGTCTTGGAGAAAATAGATGAGTTGTGCGGAGAGTTTCTTTGAGTGACTTCTAATGCCTCTCACAAAGTTCCTTTGGTGGACTGGAAAACAATTTGCCTTGCCAAAAAGTTGCTTTTAATTTTTTGGACGTGGAAGCAGCATGTGAGTATAGAGACATGGAAATGAATATATGCCAATACTTCCCCTCAACAATTGAAACCCATAAAATTCAGAGAATTGGGCCTCAATGCCTCACTACTTAGCATATGTTGATTTGTGTGAGTTATAACTACATTTAAATTTTCCAAGAAGTAAATACAAGCTAAATCATTTGTTTTTTTAAGGCCAGTTTCAAATGTTCATATAGTAAGGTAAAAGATTGAGCATGTTGGACCTTACTATTGGATGTATATTACAGCCATTTGGCTCTGTTTTAACTCCTTAAAAACCGGCACATTGTCTGAGATAAGTTGTTTGTCAGATGAGCTTTGCTACAGGCACCCAAAATATGGGATCAACAGGGGGACATGTGAGGTGTCCCCCTCCTATTGCATAATGAGTTGTCCATTATTAATGATGAACAACTCATTCATTATACAATAGGAGGGGGACACCTCACCTGTCCCCCTGTTGGTCCTATATTTTGTTCTTTGACTATTATTTTCTTGTCAGATATAATTAGGTAATGAGATCATAATGGGACCCTATAGTTACCAAGACAGCCAATTATTTTGAGCCACGCCACATAGAAATGTGAATGATTGTTAAAAGTCGGGACAGCATGATCGGGCCCACGTTGGCCCAACAATGAGCTGTCGCTCTTCCTTTGGCTTTCAAGTTGACTGGGTACCAGTACCGAGTTGATGCTTGATTCTAATTGGTCCCACTCAAGATATTGTTCGGCCGTGTTTGTCCACCATAGGTCCTGCTTTTAAACAAATCTAGTGTGCATACCATGCAGAGCAAAGTGACTCCTATTTTTTTAAGACTGTATTTTAAATTTATCTTCCTTTAAATTTTAGTATATTTAATTAAATTATTATATGTTTAAAATATATTAATGAGTAGCAGATTTGATTTACTGTTTATATTATAGCAATAATTTCGTGTGCAGAGAATCAGATTTGATTTACTGTTTATGCTACAATGTTTACTATTGTATTAACAGTACTTTTTTGCATTCTGCTTTAAGTAAAGAGGCGTAGATAAGTTTCGTTTTTTGTCGAGAAGTTAGTTCAAAATAAAACTAGTTTAAAAACTAAGGCTAAACTACGCCAAACTTAGCCTAATTTTATATTTACTAGTTAAATTGCACGTGCAATGCACGCGGTAAAATTTTTAATATTAATTTAAATTATAATTATGTTTATGTAAAGATTTGGTATAAATTTAATGAATGTACACAATATATATGAACATAAGCTAAAAATTAAAAATGTTTGAATAATACATTTATATTTAAGGATCAATTATGCGATAGTAGAGTGGTTGTGTCTACAAGGTGATTGATCAATCAAATACAATAACAAGAATATACCTAAAAGTAATGTTTGAAGATGTGGATGTCAATCCAAGCAAAATCTTTTGACTACACTTTTTGTTTCCCTTTAGATTGATGAATTATAGCGGTCATGAAGTTAACCTTTGGAAATTGACTGATAACAACATGAACTTTCCTGTAGATAAATTTAAATCATAGTTAATTACTTAATTGTATACTCTACATAAGGTAATACTCTACTTTAACGAAAATCAAATTCTACATATACCATGACATATTCCAAAAAGCATCATATGGTTTAGTTTAATTTCATCTGAACTTGTACCTGATGATTCATCCAAAACAAAGTTACACAAATAACATATTTTCAGTTTTTTCTCTTCTCAACTCATGTGAATATATCCCAACCAAAACCATCCTCATTTGCAATGCAATTGAACGATAGGAACCCATTGATCACCTAACCTTGCAATCATGCAATACTCAGTTTGAAATTTTATGAAACACTTAAAACTTCAAAAGGACATAATTATTATATAAAACTATATCTCATTGACTCCACTCTCTCCAAAACACACATTTACATTATCGAGTAAGAACTGAGAGGATCTCTAGCAGTGGTTTTTTCATCAGGTACACCCAAAGAAATCTCACGATCAAACCGTCCAGGTCTCCTTAAAGCTTGGTCAAGTGCATCTGGTTTGTTTGTTGCTCCGATAACAAGAACATAACCAAGCTTCTTCTCTGATGTTTTTGGGAATCATCAGAAGACTGAGTGTGATGTGATTCATCCATGCAAGTCATATGTTGTGTTACTATCCGCCGTTCCATCTCTCTTTGCAGGTTTTCTCGCTTGGAAGTAATTGCATCTATCTCATCAATGAATATGATTGATGTGGCAGTAAATTATCTTATAGTTTTTCAGAAACACCTACAACAATCATGTGCAAACTTAAAATAAATTGTTACTTGATATTAAAATAAATTGATATTAAAATTTATCAATGTCATTTAGTCATGAAGTAATTGTTAGTAATTACTTAGCATTTCCTCTTACAATAGAAAATCAATTAAAATTAGCTAAATCCTAGACTGTTTCAATAGCTCAGAAATTAGATTAGATATCCCATGGAAGAAAATTATTGTGATGCTGAAAACTATGCAAACTGTCACTAACCCTAGCTGTGATATTTGTTAAAAAATTAGTTACAAACTGTCACTAACCGTGGCGAGTATCTTAGCATGAATTGGTCAGAAAGATCGAACAGTTACAGGTTCCCCTTGAGACGTATATAACTCAGCTATACTTTCGATTTGCTCACTTGTGGTTATTTTCTCCAGAGGGTCGTCACTCCTCTCAAACTGTAAAAAGAGGACATTTTCATAACAACGTCAAGGACACCACAATATTTAGATAAATTAATTGAATTTGGCTTACTCTCATCTCCATAGATCCTTGAGAGTGGTCTTCACCTAATCAAAATTAGAGGTTAGACACATAAGGAAGTGGTGATATGGTCTTTCTCCGGAGATGGACATGTGAAACCAACCAGTGCAAAAACTGTAAATTTAAAACACAACATCACTTCTGAAACAATGGACATGTGAAACCAACCAGTGCAAAAACTGTAAATTTAAAACACAACATCACTTCTGAAACAATGATACCCCACCAAAAGTAAAAAAACTGTAAATTTAAAACACAACATCACTTCTGAAACAATGATACCCCACCAAAAGTAAAAACATTTTATCATCTACTTTTTACATTAGGTAGATCATCCATTTGCTAGAAAGAAGAATTATTGTTGAGATTTCTTTTCTCACTGAAAAGTTTACAACAATTTGGAAAATATAAATAAATAATATTCCTTTAAAATGATATTATTTAATCACTGTCTTTGCTACATAGGGAGGTGGAAAATGAGAAAAGAATTACTTTCCTGAAAATGCTAAAGCAACATAACTACTAATGAGTAAGTACAGAAGATGAAGATCGGTCAAACCATACAAAACGCGCCTTTCATTCAACTGTTACTGTAAAATTATTTATTTAAAGCATCAGAATTATGTTAACTATAACCATAGCTACATAGACAATGATATCTTGATAAAACGATATGTGTAATGCACGAAAAAATGTTACCTTTGTCCATTGTCGAATAAATGAACTTAACGTGCATAAGTATAATGTGAACTATGTCATACTGAACCACTAAAAACAAAGAGATAAGAGGAACAAAATGACTTACCCAACAACCCAGAAACTATATCCATCAAGATTCCAAGATTGCATTGTTTTTGCAGAAACAAAGAGATAAGAGGAGAAGGTTAATGTTTTTGCAGAACCTATTGAAAAGTTCAAATTCACAGTCCAATTTTATATTCTATCTGACCTGTAGAAATCAAATTGCACATGCCATGCCTGTTCACTTGTTTTTTAGCAGAAATTTGGAGCATATGAATATTATAGAAACAAAGGGCTATTTTTGGCAACTGCCAAAAGAAAACCCAGTTAAGCTATATCTCAAACAGAATTTTAAAATTATATAACTATTTTAATGGGAGGTCCATAGTGATAATTTCAAAATAAGTATACCTGGAATCCCTGGTTGTTTAGGGAACTTTGGTCTGAAAAAGGGAGGGGGGCATATATAAAAAGGAGTTGTCACAGGTTCAATCTCCCATAGTGATACTCTTGTTCTTCTTTCAGTAGCTGTCGATTCATCCCAGCTAACCTAATTAACATGAGGACCATGAGGACTATAAATGGTTCATCACAATGACTATAATTCAGATAATATTGCTTCTAAACTGAACTAAGTCTATAATTAAAGTTGTAAGTTCTTAGAGGGGAAATGTATCAGAGATTTATTGAATGTTTTGGCATATCCTTCATCCCAGGTTTGTCGAGCTCTACAGATAAATAGGCACAAATTGAAGCTCCTCCTCAAAAACTCCATTTTCTGATAAAATTATCCTTTTTTCTTTTTTTTTTCATATTCTGGATGTGATTTATTCATGATTCTATGGTGATAAGGAATAAAAAGGTACTAACGTCATAAATGGACAGCATATTCTGTTTTCCTTTTTCCTTTTTTTCATAATCTGAATGTGGTTTACTCATGATTCTATGGTGATAAGGAATGAAAAAGTACTAACGTCATAAATGGACAGCCATAACTTATATGCAAGTGTTGGAATATTATACTATGTTTCCATTATAATTCTAAGAACATTGTTTGTACAATGGTAAAAGCCACTATTATATCCATACCTGCAGATTACGCCACTGTGAATTTTTCCACCGAACATGATCCAAATCATTGATGCCAGTGATTGTTCCCATGTATCTACGTACTCCAGACTCCTCGGTCTCAAACATCATCCTGAATCTCATACCGAGAGAGACTTGGGTGTACATTGACTTGTTGTATTTGGCCAAAGGAACAACAAATTCTGATGGGCTTGTTCTATTTAAAAACACAAGTACTTCAATAAGCTGAACTATAGCCAACAGTTTCATTGTGCATAATGCTTTTAAAGAAGGATTAACTGCAAATAGAACCCTTATGCTATCGCCAAATTGAACTTACTACCCTTGTAGTTCTATTGTTGTAGATATCATCTTTCGGTATGAAATCTAGTAGTAGGCAATCTTCATTGATTATTCTTTTAAGAACACTGAGAACCTGGCCATGTCATAAAACAGATACAAATAAATTTGGGCTACTAAAAGAAATAAATTAGAATAACAATTTTGTAAAATTAGCTACCTTCTCTATAGAAAGATATGCGTGTTATGCGTTTCAACATCTGTTACGAAACCACAAAAGAATTATGGACATGCATAATGACAAGAAAGATGACTATTCTATTTGGTATGAATATTTACTTTTCTTGAGATTGAATTCCCCAAAATGCCCTTAAAAACACAAGTGCCAACACAAAATTTTAGTTTAAAGGTATTTTCTTTGTCAGGTTTGTTCATCTTCAAGCATATAGGATGCATGACATGATAAATTGACACTGTGGTATTTATAAAAATTGAACATGTGTGAGTAAATTTCGATGCATATCATTGTAAGCGTGTATGTGTTGGGTTCTGGTGCTATTACAGTAAGACATCTGAAACATAGAGACCCAAGTGCTATTATGACTTAATAGTTACTAATGCACAGAAATGGACTGCTAGAAAAGACTTCATGGATCGAATTTTATCAATATCATAAATTGAGTATCAAACTCATTTATTAATACCGGGGAAATTTTCATTACCTTTAAAATATTTTTAGAAACTAAAATAACACCTATCTTACACAGGTAAGAACAACATCGGCTAGGTGATAATTTAAAATTATGAATGGGCTTTGTAATTATCTAAGCAAGTCAATGTTTGAAAAACATGCATGTAGGAGCAAGCAAAACAATTACAAAGGGAAAAAGAAGATATCTTTTAAGGAAAAGTAAACAAGAACGTTAACTGTAATATTAAATAAAACTAAAGTGTCTTATAAATCAAAATTTCCTACATCAATTCATAGCATGCAACTCTTTGCAGTCATTTCCGTGCAAATATGCGTCAGTCCTCTAAGTAAATAAAGTACTTAATAGGCAGAATAATATAAATAAAATGCATAAAGGTAAAACAGAAGGATGCCACTTGTAATATGAATATCACAAAGGTGTTTACAAATGAACTTGACATTAAAAAAATGAACCAAGTTGTGCTTATAAGCAGAAAGATAGCTTGAAGTTTTTAAAACTACGTTATGGTACTTTCAGTACAGTTACGATTCACATGTCTTGCTTGTCTCTGTTCACATTGTGAGTTAAAATATGTAAGAAGTAACAGATCAAAGAACCAAAAAAGATCATTTTGAAATTTAAAATAAGTTATAGTCATCATTAATTCATATGTTATTTCTACACTCTACTCAATGGTTTAACATCCCAGGTTGATAAAAAAAAAGAGAGAGAAAAGCCAAAGTTCCACAGGATTCAAGAGGGGTTGTTTAAGTTTTGTTCACTTCACATCAGGCTTAAATATCTTATGTAGTGTGCCCAGTTCATAACTTCTGAAAACAGAAAACCATCTATAATATAGGGTAACTGACCTGAGCTGGCAAAATTTCTATGTAATACATGTAAACATCTATGGTGAATCTGTTGGATTCACACAACTTTGTATTTCTATATTATGTACCAGTGGATGCATATATGTATGTATGTTGTTTAGACGCGCACGAAAGATATATGCAATGACAAACAAGTACATGTACATACACAATGTGAGCAACGGTGATAATTCAAGCATATCTTGATATAAAAACAAACAGATTTTCTCGATAAATTTTATTGCCAATATCATGCATAATTCAAGCATATCTTGATATAAAAACAAACAGATTTTCTCGATAAATTTTATTGCCAATATCATGCATAATGGCAACTGTAAATAAAATGGATTGAGAGTATGAGTCGGGCAATATTATATCTACATATTTGGAAAATCTAATTTCTAGGTTTGGTCTTGACTCTGAAAGTTTAGTAAAACATAGACACAACAATATCATTCTGTCTGTAAATACTATCTAACAAACTCAGTCATGTTTCCCCTTTTGTGTCTGCAAATACTATCTAACAAACTCACTCAACTTTCCCCTTTTGTGTCTACAAATACAATCTAACAAAGTCGTCCACCACTAATTTCCTCAATTTAGCTCAAAATTAAAAAACTAATTCACCAATATTAACTAAAAGGACATAAACCATAAATTTTAAAAAAAATAACAATTGAATTTTTACATTATCATTAACCATTGAACACTTTTAAGTATTCTTATTTACATAATGCCTTTTTCAAGGAGGTTTGGTAAACCTGAAGAAGTTGCTGGTTTAGTGGAATTTTTGTCCCTCAATCCTGCTGCCAGTTACATTACAGGACATGTAACTTTATCCTTTGATCAATTAATTTTGATACCTGTTTACATCAGCGTTCTAATTTCAGAGGTTAATCATTGTTTAACTTCATAAAACTGCCCAAAACTTCCTACTAAACCCCAAAACTTTTCCCACCCAAAACCCCAAACCCCCAACGCAAAGTGTTTTGTGGGAGAAGTTCATAATAAACATAATTCAGAGGGGTTTTGAGGGAAGGGTTCTGTGGGTTTATGGGAATTAAACAGAGTGCAAGCGGGTTTTTGTGGAAATTTACACTTAACCATCTACCTCCTTGTTGCCTTCAAAGTTGAAATATTGACATGTTTCTAAATAATCTGCAGGTGTTTACTATTGATGGTGGGATTGTGATGTAGGAGGCATACCAATGGATGCATATATGTATGTATGTTGTTCAGTCGCGCACCAAAGATATATGCAATGACAAACAAGTACATGTACATACACAATGTGAGCAACAGTGATAATTCAAGCATATCTTGATATAAAAACAGACAGATTTTCTCGATAAATTTTATTGCCAATATCATGCATAATGACAATTGTAAATAAAGTGGATTGAGAGTATGAGTCGGGCAATATTATATCTACATATTTGGAAAATCTAATTTCTAGGTTTGGTCTTGACTCTGAAAGTTCAGTAAAACATAGACACAACAATATCATTCTGTCTGCAAATACTATCTAACAAACTCAGTCATGTTTCCCCTTTTGTGTCTGCAAATACTATCTAACAAACTCACTCAACTTTCCCCTTTTGTGTCTGCAAATACAATCTAACAAAGTCGTCCACCACTAATTTCCTCAATTCAGCTCAAAATTAAAAAAACTAATTCACCAAAATTAACTAAAAGGACATAAACCATAAATTAAAAAAAAGTAACAATTGAATTTTTACCTTTTGAAATTGACACGGGAGCAAGATGAAGACTTGAAGCAAGCCCTAATTCAGACAATCCTTGACCTATTGTTGAATTAGAACAAAATGAGAATGAAGAACAAAAAGGTGAGATGATGAATTGAGCAGAAAGCGTAGGAAAAATTAAGTAATACCTTCTTCAATGAAATTCCTTCCTGATTCTACCCGCTGCAAAAATTCTGACAAATGACGAGATGATGGCGGAGACGGGTTGATGATTAGGGAAATAATACTCATCTTTTGAAATTTATGGCTTAAGATCGTGGGACGGCGTAACGTAAGAACCGAGACGAGGGGCTGAGATGAAGGGTAACAGATGAACTGGTGAATTGAATTCATCTCTAAAAGTTGTTGGAGGTAATGGAAGATCAGAGGAGGAGGAGGAGGAATTGAAAGGAGTAAAGTGTATTTTGGGGACCGATGAATTGAAAGGAACGATGAATCGAAAGGAGGAAAATATTCGTAACTGATGAAAGGGTATTTTGGGGAGGCTATTTTGGGATATGTTTGGTAATTAAATTTAGGGTAAGGCTATTTTGGGGAGAGTAAAGTTTTTCATGAACTCCCTCTTTTAAAGGGTAGATAGATATGATTTTGCTTAAACTGAGGCTACATTTGAACATGGTCCTATTTTGAGCAGCTGTTAAACATGCTGATACAAATGAGAAAATGGAGGATTTATTTATAAATGATCTTTAAAAATGATCTTTAAAAATATACCATTTAAATTATTGTGTTCCATAAATAAAACTATATACTTAATTAGTAATGTATGAGTGTTAGTCCCACATTGACTAATTGAATGCATTATCCTCAGTTTAAATAACATAAGTGTTATATTAAGTATAACAAAGATGTTAGAAAGTAGTATGCATATGCTTGTTTGCATAATAATGAGCTCCACATGGGTGAGCAACTGGCTTGAAGCAACCATAGTTATTAGTTCCTAAGAGTCGGCCAAACAAAAGCAGTGAGTTCAACAGAAGAGTGCACATTTTTGAATTGTAGCCATCTCATCCTCGAAAATGTTGTGCAGACCTAAAGCAACCGTAGGTGAGAAATAGTTTCTTCAAGACCAGTCCTCATAATAGAGGGAAATTTAGCTCCTGTAAAGTATTTCTCTCTTAATTTTACTCTAGTGATAATCTTATTTGTGTTCTGTTGTTCTTTGTTTTTCTTCCAATGTGGTTTATTTTGCTTTGGTGAATCTATAATGAACCTAATGTATCTTGCTTATTTACTAACAAAACACACCCAAACTAATGTATAGTTATGGTTCAATTCGGCAATTTTAGGACTACTACAAACAAGAATAGCTCAGTTAATGGCTAAATTTTGGACTAACAAAAGCTAGTTAAATTCTCCATATGCCTATTTATTAAACTAGGACCGATCTTGATCTGGTTTAATTTTCAACTTAACCTAGTTATCTAGAGTTGTCGTTTTTTGTTTTTCTTCCTATGTGATTTGTTTTGCTTTGGTGAATCTATAACGAATTTGATATATCTTGCTTATTTACTAACAAAACACACCCAAATTAATGTAGTCATGGTTCAATTCGGCAACTTTAGGACTAGCTCGAACAAGAATAGCTCAGTTACTGACCAAATTTTGGCCTAACAAAAGCTAGTTAAATCCTCATATGCTTATATACTAAAGACCAATCCTGATCTAGTTTATTTTTCAACTTAACCTAGTTATCTCGAGTTTTCGTTTTTTATTTTTCTTCCTACGTGATTTGTTTTGCTTTGGTGAATCTATAACGAATCTGATATATCTTGCTTATTTACTAACAAAACACACCCTAATTAATGGTTAGCTCAAAAAAAAAAGATAAACTTTAATCATTCAATAGGTCTTGAGTTCAAATCTCATTTGAACATATTTTTTTATTGTGACACCCTCACTTTAGTCCCACATGGACTAATGTGAAGAAATATTAGTGGTTCAAATAGAGAAAAACCCAAGGCCCAAGAACAACTAGTGCTAGTATTTTTGTAGTGGACTTTAGCCAATATCGAGTTGCCCTCAGTGGGCCCACGACT